AAATCTGACCTGCGCTCGCGCCCGTCGAATAGATCCGACCGCGCTGCGCGGTCGGAAACCATCCGACCCGCCCGCGCGGCCTTACCGGCGTAAATAATCCCACCGCGCTTGCGCCCCCTGGCGGAATAATCCGACCGCGCATACAGCCGGTCGATCATCCCGACCCCCGCTGGCGTGGAATCATCCGACCCCGCGCTGCGGTCGCGAACATCCGACCGCGCTTGCCGTCCGATTGATCGTCCCGGATCATTCCGTCCTGCGCTTAGCGCGGGTTCGCCGACGTTCTCCCTTTTTTTTTTGTTTCTTTCTTCCGGGACTTGTTCTTGTTGCGTATTCGTTCGATTTGTTGACTTGTATGCTTCGTCGCGAGACCGATCGTCGAACGCGCGTTGGTTAACATACGCGTGCTGATCGATGCGCGCGGGCTGATTGACGTGCGCGAGATGATTTGACGTGCGCGCGCTGACCGGCGCGCACGAGTTGGTTGACGTGCGCGCGTTGACCGGCGCGTACGAGTTGATTCGACGTACGCGCGTTGATTGACGTGCGTGCGTTGACCGGCACGCACGAGTTGATTGACGTGCGCGCGTTTGACCGACGCGCACGAGTTGGTTTGACGAAGCTTCTTGACTCGCCCATTCATTGCTTCGAGTTTCGTGCGGGCTCTTGTAGACAATTTTAGACGCCTACAATAGTATGGTATTTAGAGGACATGACTTTTTAAAATAAATAGTGAGTATGAACAACCAAATTATGAAGTTTTGAGAATTTATGAACCAATTTTGTACTCATTACTAATCTCCCGTGTAGATAAGCCAAAGCATCATTTCATTTATTGATATAAGGTTGACAATAATTTTTGTATAACCTATATTTTCTTGTTAATATAGTTCCAACAAAAGTTTCTCATACTTCGTAGCTTTCCTTAGTGTTTGTCCAAAGTCCAGGATAAAAGAGAAGGACTACATAGCGTAGCCAAATCTAACAACTAAATATAATATCTACGGCAAGATGGATGATGATAGCCAATTAAGGATATGTGTACGTTCATCAATGTGCTGAAATGAAATTGGATATATTTCTTCCGTTTGGTTGGCCAAAAAACCAAGAAACCACATTATAAAAGACTCATTTCCTATAAACTTTTTTTTTCTTTAGTTTGGTTCCCACTATGAAATCAAGGAGGAGGGTGAGGTGGCACCTTCCCATTGGTTGATATGGCTCCAATTCTAGGAAACTCAATTTCAGAGGTTTTATTAAGGAAATCACTTGAAAACCTATTTATGAGTTTTCTTTGTCAGATTTCCTTTTTCTGTTTTTTTTTTTTCTTTTATCCCTGGGGAAGTCAACCAAACAGCCCCTTAGAGCAATTCCAACCATTGGCTCTATTTTGGAGTCCCCACTAAAGCATATTCTAAGAAATATGCCAAAATAGAGCTTTGCAACTCCAACCACACTCCTCTATTTCCAACTCCATTTCAATTTCTCTCAATTTAACAATTCTTTTACTTATTTTTAAAATATATAAAAATTATAAACTAATAATTAAATATGACATAAGTGGAATATCTAAAAGTAATTTTGAATGTATTGTCATTTCTAATTACTTGTTTTGTAATTTTATATTTCGATATTAGTCTCATTTTGAAGGTATTGACGAGACATTTCCAATGATATTATTTTTATTAAAAAATATTTAATATATTAATATATATATATATACAGATTTTAAGTAAGTAAAAAAAATAATAGGATACAGTGGGAATAATAAAATGTTGTTAAGAAGATTTGAGGGTTAATATTGTCTTTTTTGGGGGGAATAGTAAAATGGAGGAGGCTGCATATTTGGAGAAAAAACTCCAAATATGCAGCTGATGGATTGAGTTTGCAGCCGAGCTCCAAAATTTGGAGCTCGGTTGGAGTGTCACCGGGCTGCATTTTGGAGAAATGCAGCCCGGTTGGAGGTGCTCTATACCTACAAATATTAAGAACAACTCTGCATAACTTTCTTCTCTGCCTACATGACTTAGTACATAAATATGAAAAACATGACCTTGACATAACTTCGTACAAATGTTACATCAAAACCCAAAACTACAAACTCTTTATTGCCCAAGTTGAGGATAAAAACTTAGACATCACGAATTGTGTACTTATGTGTAGACGGTAAAAAATACCTCTATGGGTCTACAGGAAATTTGCCTACGAGAAGAGCTCGCACGCCCAGTTCTCTGGCACGGACCTAAACCGCGTAGACGTCGACTGTACTCAAGTCCAGGTTCGCCTAACGGTCGACTCACCAGCACGAGTCAGGGTCGATCAGGATGGCGGAAATTCGCTCGTCGCTCAACTCGCCTGCCCGAGTTCGGAGTCGAATCCGCCAGCAAGCCCCAAAACCGTCAGTACAGCTGGGTATCCACTACCCCACGTGCTGAGATGGACCTTCCCATCTCTCTCGACCCGAAGGGAGAGAGAGCACAGTACCCCAGGACCGTCAAACGGCCGCCCACAGTGCACACAGCGCGAAGGACTGGACAGGCGTCGAGTCAACCTGAGCATTCATAAATGCGACTCACCTCGGCTGTCTGAGCCAAGAGCTGGATCCGCCGGCACTCGGCAAGCTGGCTAGACCCACTCGAGTACTATACACCTACTTCACCGCCTCTCCTGACCGGAAAGGAGAAAGCGTCGTGCTCAAAGCACGCCGGGCGGTCACGCACAGTACAAGTGATCGGACAGACACTTCATCGATCTGCGAACTCATAAATGCGGTTCATTAATGCTGGTCAAATCCACTCGGATAGCAGTCGTTTGTTACCTCACATACAAGAATGGGCCTTCCCATCGTAGGTGACAGGACATAGAGCACAATCCCTGGAATGACCGTTCATGGTATCGAGGAACGGCAAGACGTCTCTGAAGAGGATGTGGTCACATCCCACAATTCAAGGAGAAGTCAAGCTGTCCTTCTTTCATTTAAAAACCCCTTCCAGCACGATGGAAGAGAGGTCGCTAAACTTGGAGAAAAAAGAGTTGAGACCAAGCTGTTAGCAAATCCTTGCATTACAGCACTGCCGCCTAGTTCTGAGCTCCGATCGCCGACGAACTAAGCAGGCCCGAACTCCATTGCCCCGAGCTTCTACTGCGAACTGAAGCTCTCCAGCAACCTCATTCAAACGGTCCAAGGGAAGCAGACTCGACCCGAGCATCGAGCGAAGCGTCCTATAGCCACCTAAAGTCCCCACACAAAACAAAGAGGGCCTTCCCTCTGCTTCTGTTGTAAACATTTGATTTGTTAGTTTGTAATAAGCTTTCTTATAAATACAAACGAAACTCCTTTCTTCGGAAGAATCAAATTTTCACCCTACATTATGTCACTAATGCATCACACTTATCACTAAAGAATCCATATCAACATTGGCTTCATGTTAAATGATGTTTCTGCGTCTTAGACTCTTACAATTGTTTTACTTGCACTCGATTGGCTTCGGTCATCATCAACAAAAGACAGAAGAATAGGGGGAAATAATAGAAAATAAATGGTAGCAATAGTTTCATTCAGAATACTTTTGGTTGAAACTCTATATAAGACTCTCTGTACAATCATATGACGTAAAGTTTTTGAGGATGGTGATGAAGACAGTGGTTCAGAGTTTGAAGATGAAGTTGAGGAGGCTAAAGATGAAGAAACAAGAGAACTATGATAAGATGGACAAGACAGAGAGCATGAGGGTGGAGATAAGGAGCAAGAAAGCTCGAAAGATCATTGCAGACACGATGAAGATTAGCAACTCTCCTGGTCAAAAGAGCTTTGCCCATAACTGATATTTGTAATAATATTCGTGGATACAAGTTTCAATAACTTCGTCTACTCTCTTTTTTCCTTTTTTTTTTTGGTCACATGTTATTAGAAGGTTGTGAATTTGAAGTTACAGTAAAGAGGTACATTGAGAAGGAAAAAAAAGGTATATTGAGGGTGAGAAACAGATGAAATTCTTGAAATATCAAGAAACTTTATAAGGATGAATATTGTTAATTGAAATTTAATTTTAGAATGAGCTTGGGTATAGGCTTAACAAAACATCCATAGATAAAAAGAAGATAATTTTTCAGTCTATCAGAAGTTCTTTTTAGAAACACCAGTTCAACAAAAATTGGTATATAAAATTTAGAATTGAAAAACTTATTCATGGAGGAAGATTCGGTCACGTATCTGTCTTTATAAAATATACAATTCCAAAAACAAAAGTTCATAAAAAGATTCAGTCTGAACCACAAAAGCTAAAGCCTGGACGGATAAGCAAACTTGAACTTTAATTTCATTGGAGAAATCTTGGGAAAAACTATTAATAAGAGAGTTTTTAATGAATAGGGATAAATTGGCAGATCTCAATCTCCTAAGTCCGAGGATTAACAAACTGAATCTCTTCCAGCAAAAGAGCTACGTTTTCTAATTTGGCTTAATCAACAGATCACCAAATTAATGTGAGTTTGATCATCCAGACTCTAACTACAGAGAATCTAGTGAAAGTTTGGCAGACCAAACTTCAGGATTCCGTTTGGCTATTTTATTATTGGGTCTAATTGATGCTGCAGAAAATTTGGGAGAAGAACCTTTGTTGTTGGTAGGCATCTTGTTAGATTCACAAGGATCAACTATTAAGTTAATATAGCCATAGAAATCATGCGTTTTATTTTCATTTACTTAATTATTTTTTATGTTTGCTTTGCTTCATTCTTAAAAGGGTTAAGAGGACCATCCAGGATGTAAAACAATGACTTCCACTTCTTTTCAGGGAACTTCCAAATAACTTTGATTCCTCCAACGCCTACTTTTCACTATCTAAATGATTGAGGAGGAGGAAAGAGGGGGTGTCAGGTGTGGATTGGGGTTTCACTCTTGCTAGTTGTCCTATGCCCAGCCAAATGCAGCCAAAAGGTCATTTCTACGTCATTGTACCCAAATTCTAATTTCTTTCATGCTCAGCAACTTCCACATATATAGTAATTATACAGAAGCATATGATTTCACAATAGGATTGGAACATGGTTAATGTGTAAGTACACATTATAGGTATTGCAAATCAAACCAAATGTCAATATCCAGTCTACTTACTTTGTAAGTGGAACACGGACGTCATATATCTTCATGAAATAATCGATAGAGCTGCTGCCAAATAGTTGTTGCCTAATACCGGTAATCTCAGAGAAGAAACACTGTAAATTGTTTTAGGCTTCCACTTTACTCCTAACTCCACAATAACCTTCCAATGGGTTCTTGCATTTTCTTCCTTCTTCAGAGTAACGAAAAGTTATGTAGTCTTTATACTTTAAAGGCTTAAAAAGCAAAGGATGATCACCATCAACTAGCTCTTCTAGAGGTTCCAGTAAATAGTCATCACTCGGTCGTGTCGCAAAAAGAACAGAATATCTTTTCTCATCCCCAATCATGTTCACACGATGGATGGGAGGTTGGAATTTTCCGTTGGTCCATACCTGGCCAAGATTAGCAGATCTTTCATCAAAAATGATTTATTCGGCAACAACATGGTCAAGCAAAAAACAACATTTTTGGCTCTTTTTCTTGAGTTTATATGGAGTCCAAATAAAAACAATGAGTCATTGGAATGTATATAATCTTCCAGAAGAATTCTTTTAGTTTAAATGTGTCAACGCCATCTTTTTCCAGCAAGAAAAATAGGCTTCTTTTCGAGTGTAATCAAAATTGAGGGGAAAATAAGAAAGAGATTCGGAAAACATTCAAAAAGAAAAGGCTGGGTGTTACGAAGTAGATGATATCCTGAAGCAGAATAATTTCTAGATATCAGCCAAGTTTCTGGCCAAACTATAAAGAAGATGAGAACTTTGCAATAAAAACCTATTAGTCATCGCTAGGCAATAGATGTAGCTGTTCTAAGTCATGCACTTAATCACATGAAACCAGTGACAGGTATTCTACGCTAAAAAAGTCTCTTGCAATGGGAGGACCTTATTATCCCAATTCCTCTTCTTTTCTTGTTTTCCTGTGGCTCATCTTTTCCTCTTCGCCTTGCTTTTTTTTCGGTCGGTGCGTGGTT